TCTTTTTTGAAATGGGTTTGCTTAATTCTGCTTAAGTTACTAAAAGATATTTGAAAATTGTTCTATTTAAGTAGAGTTTCAGAAATTACTTATTATTGCTTAAGCAGCGAAGTTCGGAAATCGTTCCGCTTTACTAATGCTTAAACTGCTAGATTGCGTTTTTGGAAATTGGGTTCGCGTTGCAATCGCGATATTTTACGCAATCGTTTTAATATTATATATATTAATGTTTTATTTTATATGTTAATATTTTATTTTATATATTGTTGTGGATACAACACATTTGCAGTTCCATCTGATATGGGTAATAAATGTAAAAACTTATCTACAATCTTCATGTCTTCTTCTTGAACGCGTATAACAAGTGCCAGATGTTTTACTGATCCTGCATCAGTAGATTCATCGATCATTAGAGAGAATTGAGATTTTTGTAGTTGTTCAACAAGAGAATTGAATAAATAACTATCTAAAACATTCTTTATAATCGCGCTGCATTTTGTTCTGCCTATTTTTATTGCGTTAATTACATTTATATCATTTCCCACCGCTCGTATCAAATCTGGGAGATGTTCAATAGCTGAAAATGGTAAATTGTGTTTAATAATATAAGCTACAAGACGCAATTCCACTCTTTTCACAGTTGTTGTAAAATCTGTAACAGATTCAACAGCAACGTTTTCTTTTTCAATTCTCTCTAAACGATTTTTATATTTCGATGTAATTGAATGTCGTTTAGCATCCTTGATTGAGGCAGCAAAGCTTTCTTTACATACGTTGCAATAATATTTATACTCGCTGTCTGCACCATCTTATCAATCCATGAAAACTGAATTGCTCATTCTTGTCGATATTTTTGAGAATGTTTCTTTTTTTTAACATTCTGTTTCGAATTAACTTCTTCACTACTTCTTTCCATTTCAAATAGAAAATTGTTTAAAATAAAGACAAATTTATTTGAAAGAAATTTTGTTTAAGTATAAAAATATAAATAATTATAATATATATTATAAAACAATAATTTCTTTACATTATTTATATATTTCTTAAAAGTAGTTTATACTATTAAAAAGATATGTAATAAGAAGAGCTATTTTTAATTTATTATTTGAGCCATTCTATATCATGTTTTTTAGTTTATACTTACCAATGTTTTCCATGGAGATCTGCTAGATTGCTAACCTCCTTTTACTTCTGTTAATCAGACCAGTACTATAGTAGCGTACGACAGATGGAAATGTTACTGCAAATTAACTCTCATGAACATATAGAAAAGACATGAACTACTCTAAAGTTTTATTAGTCTGTAGGACACAAAGTAATTAAAGGATAGCTTATCGGAATTACAAACTTGTTGTAGGATTGTGCACGTTAAATTAGATAACGTAATAACTAAAAACTGAAAGCTTCGTAGCGACGTAATGTAACCGTCAGCAGGGTCACATAAAACAAAACAAAGTGCCCACCAATGCCCGCACGCCGCACCGGCACCGCGTACAATCCTTTTTTTTTTTTTTTAACGGTGGGAAATATATTACGCATACCTGCTCCCCTCGGGGGAAGGAAGCGGGTTATGTCGGACTCTTCCAGGTGCCAGGGCAACGGAACCTGCCGACTAAAACCCAACGGGGATCCTAATCGCACGATGTGAAACCGGGCCGGGTACTCTATGACCCGGGGTCATGTAATACATCCAGCCCGGTCTCTCGCTATGCATAAGCATACCTTGCCTAACTGAGTGCAGAGAGATTTCACCCCTCCGCACTTCTAACTAGGCACCGTACAAAGGGGATAAGGCCCCGCCTTAGCCCCAAGTGCCAGAAAGATGCATTTCTGCATGATTCGCAATCCTAACTATATATTTACATATATTTACAAGTATATACACGATTACAAGACATAAATGGTAACCTACTAACGGTCCCTCCGAAGAGGGGCATTAAACGATGAGACCCCCTATAACCACCCCGCTAGCCAGTCTGATCAAGGGGCCTCATCGTGCCTATATACACGCGTAAAGAGGATACATTTAATGGGGCACCACGATGCGCGATGTCCATGAGGACATACTGTGGTCCCATACTTCGGGTGGTGTTCGAGTGACCCAAGTTCCCGAACACCCCGCTATTCGATGTGTTCGTTGCATACAAACTAACACTGGAATAAATACGCGAAACTTAAAGCAAACGCTTAACCTATCCTAAAAAATTCTAACGTAAACCCTTAAACGCTTAACCTACAAACGGTATATATATACAGGGTGGCTGAGAATAATCGCCAAATATTTCATGCGTTGGTAGAACAGACTATACTAAGTCGAAAAGTCCTGTACCATTTTGCGATTGCAGTAATAGTTAATGAGATATTAATTTATAAAAATATTTAAATTCTCCCGGCCCATCGTCAAATGCAAGCGCGCGGCTGGATAGGACCGCCCATGATGTAAGAATACAAGATGTATCATTGCGCATAATGGCGGTAGCCTTGTGGGGCAGCCAATCAAAGATTGACTACAAAAGATTGGGCAGCCAATCAAAGATAGACCATTGCTTTTTAGTATTTGTGGTCAACGTCTGATTAGTCTAAAGAGCGGCCATTATTTTGGACGAGTGCGCATCCACGGGAATGATACACCTTGTATTCTTACATCATAGGACCGCCCAGCGAAGCGCGCCGCGCGCGTTTGCCGTTACTAGGCGTTGTTTATAAGCGGCAATAGTCGTCGCTAGACATGAGTCGCGTGCCTAGCGACGGCGGACGCGCTCGGCGTGCTTTGCAGGGCGGTCCAATCCAGCCGCGCGTTTGCATTTGACGGTAGGCCGGGCGAATTTAAATATTTTTATAAATGAATATCTATTTTTTCAGTACTCTTAACCTTCTTCTTCTTCCTAGTAGATTTCTGGTTATTCGACCGACAGAGTACGAAAAATTTCCGTTTCCGCAAAATATGCCCCATGGGGAACCAAGCTACTTAAAATCGGAACGGAACGATGCTGATTGGTTGCTCCTACCACTTCACTTTTTCGATTCCGTTTTCCGTGCCCATGGGACGGCACCCTTACTCGCTGCATGAAATTGTAGCTTTACACTGCGCTCACGCGCGTGCGCAAAAAATATCGATTTGTATCGCAACGTCGCAACTGCGGCAACCATCGACATCTAGAATGGACCGCTGATGGTAGTGGTGGGGGTAGAAAGACGAGTAGAGTAAGAGGCAGAAATAATATGATCGTTCTTTCTCTGTTTACTGATAACTACTAATTACTATTGATTGTTGTTAATCCAACAACCAATCAGGCTTTAGTAAACAGAGAAAGAACGATCATATTATGGACCACTACCATCAGCGGTCCATTCTCATAAGATTGCCAGAAATCTCCGCATTTTAAAGCGTTTTAGGTAGAGTTGGGGAGATGCGGGCCGTTGCGGAGACGAGTGCACATCTTCTTTGCGCATTATAGATTACTATTAACAGGATCGTACGCGGTTCCAAGTGATAGGCCAAGATCTGACCCTGTCTGCGATCATCAGGGCCATCTCAGGGGATAAGAGGAAGAGGGAGGCGTTCCTTTCCTTCTGTGGTGCAGTGATGTCCCAGAAGGAAATTGCGGAAAGAGCCAGAAAAGGCATCGGGTAGAGGAGGCGCTTTCTGCCTCGAGTATAACTAAGTAAGTTTTAGTCTTAGCAGACGAGTTCTAGCTCCAATATATATATACAGGGTGGCTGAGAATAACCGCCAAATATTTCATGCGTTGGTAGAACAGACTATACTGATTGTGAGTCGAAAAGTCCTGTACCATTTTGCGATTGTAGTAATAGTTAACGAGATATTGGGTCTGTTTTTTGTTCCTCCACTGTCTGAACTAGTGCACACGGTGCAATAAGTTAAACTGAAACAAACGTATATTTAAACGTATATTTGTTTCACTTCAACTTATTGCACCGTGTTTACTAGTTCAGACAGTGCAGGAACAAAAAACAGACCCATTAATTTATAAAAATATTTAAATTCGCCCGGCCCACCGTCAAATGCACACGCGCGGATAGGACCGCTCAGCGAAACGCGCCCGCGTTCGCCGTTGCTAGGCGTTGTTTATAACAAGCGGCAATAGTCGTTAGACATGAGTCGCGTGCCTAGCGACAGCGAATGCGAACGCGCGCGGCGCACTTTGCAGGGTGGTCCTATCCAGCCGCGCGCTTGCATTTGACGGTGGGCCGGGCGAATTTAAATATTTTTATAAATTAATATCTCGTTAACTATTGCAATCGCAAAATGATACAGAATTTTTCGACTTAGTATAGTCTGTTCTACCCACACATGAAATATTTTGCGTTAATTTCAAACACCCGTATATGTTTGTTGTTGAATATTAAGAGCCCTTTACTAATTTTGTGTTAATTTACGTTGGCTGTAAATATGCGTCATACAATCAATCTTATTTTAAATTTATTAAAGATTGTTATGGTCATCACATAGTTAGAATACTTAAAACGTGTATTAATGTTAGACGATCTATTATCAAAAATAATGTACATATAAAATAAGACATTGCATCAACAATACACAGATTGGCCCATGGTGGAAGTATATACCGCAGATTATGCTTCCACGGTGTACCCTTCGCTGACCCATTATTGTTTCGATGAAACCTTTATGCCTCTTTTCAATGTTGTTGTAGCCCGCGAATGCTACCACGATTAAGACCCGTATTCATAGTCCTTCCTTGAGGAATGAGGATTCCTTGTTCCTCATTTCATGTTTCATAGATCTTCCTTGATCAAACAAGGAACCTTGGGGTCGATTCTATAATTCAAGTGAGATCACTCACTTTTCGCACTTTCATCTCACGCGAGTTTGTTCGCGCGATTCTATAACGTCAAGGTGAAAATACGAAATCACTAGAGTTGCCGTGTAGGGGAAAACGAGATGATTCACATTTTCACCATAGTGTGTTCTCGTCTTCTCGATGACGTTCGACGGTTCGACCGAAGACAGTATTTTATCTTTAAGTATTGTAATATTACTGTATCTATTAAATTCTGTAAATTCCGTCATGAACGTAACTGAGAAACAGAAACAAATATTAATAAATTTTATGCGGGCTAATCCTGATTTCGGGAGAGGACGGTTAAGATATAACCGTGAAAATAAAAAACAAATTGTAAGTTTTGAGTTCATTTTATTATTTCATAAAATTTTAATTTTACAAATGTTAATTATATAATTGATGAGATATTAAATTGTAAATAAAAATTACACAAATAACTATAATATATATACTATATATTTTATATAGGAGAAATTATGGGAGAAAGTAACGTCTGCCTTAAATTCTTCAGGCTGTGGTCCACAAAAGCAACCAAAGGAATGGGCAAAGGTAAAGTTACATCAATGATAATTTTTTCTTTAACAAAATTATTTCCGAGCTGTGAGGCACGTCTTCAGTGGCAAACGGAACGTGGTTGAAGTTTCCTTCTCTGTGTCTCAGTTTTGACTGAGTCAACGTCCCGTTTGTCAATTAAGATGTCTGAACTGTAAATGAAATATTATATCTAGAAGAAGAAGGAATTCCTCTATGCCACTGTCTCATAGTCTGGAAATAGTTTTTCCTAATTATGATACCGGTCGCGAAAGCCTTTACAGTCATTAATTCTTTCTTTATTACAGACATGGCGTGATTGGAAGTCCAACTTACTAAAAAGAGTAGCCACATACAAAAGTTACGCAGCAGGAACTGGAGGAGGACAACCAAAAATTTTGGATACAAGCCCAGCTGAAGATGACTTACTTGAATTTTTAACACCCGAGGCCAGTGGAATGTGTAATATTCCTGAAGGAGGTGCTATAAGCGATGTACCTATTACTGATCTGACCATTGAAAGAGTTTTGACATCGCAGAAATGGCAGAATCCTTCTACTTCGCATCTACCGATTTGTCCTGATCTGACCGCTGAAAGAGTTTCGTCGCAAAAACTGGAAAATCCTTCTACTTTGCAAATTACGAAGTTTTCGACCTCTCCAAATTTGCATACTGAGGAGAGTATCAGACAGGCGACTTCGTGCTTCCAAGGACTTGAAGTAATCGTTGTCTTAAAATTTTAATAATTTACCTTAAAATTTTAATAACTATTTATTCATGTTCTATTAAAATTTTCAGGAACATTCCTTCCACAGCGACGTAACAAACAATGATACAGAGAATTTTCCAATAAGTGTAAGTGATATATAATTTCTTTTGTATGATGTATTTCTTTTTTTCAACGTAATATATATTTATAATAAAGATACTTTTCATGTCAGATATCCTCTAATGTACTTCGTTCAATAGAAAATGAACAAAAACAGATTCCAAAACAAGTACATTGCATCAAGTCTGGTCCAATCTCAATCAAAAATATCAAGAGACATTCTGATGATGCAGGTAATTAAAACGTCTTCCCTCTTATGTTATATTTACAATATCTAATTTGATTTTATCTGATCTTTCTATTATTAATAGAAACTAATCATAATATTATTGAACTAATTTTTTTAGATACCTCTAACAAAAAAATAAAGAAGCAAAACATAAAAAATGTATTTGAACAACATACCACAGACTACTGCAATCTTCAGGAACAAATGTTGCAATTAAAACAGGAAAAGTTAACCATACTAAAAGAAAGCTTGGAATTGAAAAAAAAAGATCACGAAGATCATACCAGGTTTTTTAAATCATTTCTTGAAAAGATGGATGACCTAATGAACATTGTTCAATCAATCTGTCCGCAATATTTGGAAAACTGAAGAGAAAGAGTTATCTTTTTATTATAAACATTATTTACATAAGTTCGCAATATTTAGAAGACTAAAAAGGAAGTTATTTTTTTATAAACATTATTTACGTACAGTTAACAAAGTGAGCTTAAAAGACTGAAAAGAAAGTTGTGATTTTAGTTTAGAAAAAAGTATATGTGTGTGTTTTTTTATTATAAACATTGTTAACGTATTATTAACAAACATGTTATACTTTATGAACATATTTTATTAAAAATATTTTATTAAAAATACATTTTCTCAAAATATTTTTCCTCACAATAGCATTTATAAATATTTTTTTTTATTTGATCTGTGCAAACACATACGTTCAACAAAGTAATAATTCTTTATTATAATTAGTTTTTACTTAAATTCAGAGAATTAATGAAAGGATCAATCATGTTAAAAATTCACTGAGCGCTCACTTATCAGCTTAGTCTGTTGAATATAGCTATTTTCAAAATACAATTAAAAACTCATGTAAAAGAATGTTAAATCTTAAAAGTTAAGTCAATTTGTGAAATACCATTGGATCACACGATTTCGGGTTTGTTCTCCACGTTCTTCGTTAATATCATGATATGGTATCGGTGGTGCTATATCTAATTCATCCAGATGTATTTCATCACAAGGAATCCCCCATTTGATCGCCATATTATGCAGAACGCAACAAGCGTTGACAATAAGAGCTGTATGATAAAAAATATTTCACTGACACTTATGTATTGCAAGAAATAGTGAAATAATTAAGTAGTAACTTTAAGTGTGTTCGATTTGCTGGTAAGTGATCTAAGAAAGTCTCCGATTGCAAAGATTTAAAAGAAATGAAAGAGTATATAAACCTGCGAATTGTGGACGATAATGTAAAGCTCGTTCCTTCCGTAAACAACGCCAGCGACCTTTTAAAATGCCGAAACAACGCTCTATAGCCACACGAGTCCGAACATGATGATCTGTGTATCTTGCACCTGGAGTTCCTTCTTCTTCATTTAATTTTGGCGTCAATAGAAAAGGTAGAAGGGGGTATGCAGAATCACCTAAATGTACAATATTAGTTTTAACTTTAATGCAAAATTAAAACAGAAAATTATAAATATAAAGGAGTTAAGTTAATAAATTAAAGTTCAGAAATCATGGATATGTAAAGTCCTATGTACCAATATTACTACATATATCTGTATGTAAATACTTAATTAATTCTTTACCTAGAAGCCAGCAATTCTCTATTTCACTCTGTCTGTGTCTCTGTTCTAAATGAGCAAAGAGTCTCG